TAAGACTTCAGCAGCATGTGATTCCAAAATGGAGCTTCTGCAAGTTTAAAATGTCAAGCAGCTCAGAGCTAAAGTTTTTTGAAGTGTGCAAACAACTGGATAATGTGCCTTTCCTGTTGATTTGCAAGAAAGTTGAATTTTTTTAAAGATGTTTTTGTTTCAAAAATATGTTTATCTGCAATGACTCCATTAGGACAGATGGAACTGAGGAAACGAAAAATACCTAACCCTTTTCGGACCCCCACGCCTTGTACTGTCTATGCCAACATCTTAAAGTGTTACTAAACCCACAACAGTAAAATCAGTCTGTATATGCAGTAAAGCATGCTTGTTATACTCACTGTGGAACCTAAGGGGTTAATCCTCTGCATTGTGTAAAAAGGCTGTTTGATCCTGTCTTCTCTGCCCCTCCTCTTGTTGAAATGACCACCTGATACAGACTGAATCCGTAGTCACATGCACATGCTCCGTTTGGTGTGTATTGCTAGAGAGGGTTTTTTTTTTACTTGGGAGAGTGCATGTGATCAGCACAGGGCCAATCAGCACTGTCCAGACAGGGGGTCAAAGGGTTTTCACATCCTCCTAGAGCAGAAAGAAAACTCCTTCTACAAGCTTTAACCAGTGCTCTGCTGAAGTCACAAGACTGCTCTAACTGCTGATGAGAAAAGGTATTTAGCAGTTTATATTTACTAAAATAATTGCATTTCCATGTTCTGTGTACTGTGGGAGACCAGATAAGGTGAATTCAGGTTCCGGGATTTAGTATCACTTTAACAACTCTTGCCATCAGTTAGGTTATGGAGCAACATTGCTTCTGATTTCAAGTTTTAAAACCAATAGTGACATTTTCTCAGCCTTTCAGCTATTTGCAAGTGGATCCATAGCTATATTTGTTTAAATTAAAGACTTAGTTCACCTTTATAAAAAAAAAAAAACAAACTAAAAACTACCAATTCAGGTAAGGGGTGTCTATAGATAAAAACAGACTGTGCAGCTCTAACTACAGTTCAATAATGCCCTTGCTATAGATGTAGGCTATTTACATACCTCCCAAAACTCGACTGGAATACTCCCAGGAAATTGCTAGGACATTGCTAACTGAGACCTAGTCATTACTGCTCACCTCCACCATCTCAGGAGTGAGCTTTTTATCTGATTAAAAACCACTCACATGCTCTTTCTCTCCACTAATGCAGTAGCTTTTAACTCAGCATTTGAGAGCTCATTCATGTGATGGTGGAGGCAGGGCTGCTGATAGAAACCAAGGGGCCCCATACAGCCAACCTGACAGGGCCCTCCCCCTTAATAATCCCCCCCCAAAAAAACACAGTTTACTATGCTTCAGTTATGAATGAACACAGTGAGTGATCACTACTGATCACTCATTGTGTTAATTCAGAAAACAAAGGGGCTGGTAACATATTTACTCAGCCCTTCCCACACTCTTCATCCTCAAGTATCCTATTCTGTGCTTACAGTTACCAATGGAAAGTAAAGGAGGGAAGCTGGTAGCATTGTGGAGGTGGGGGCACACGGGTGTGGGTGGGGCCTGGGCAATAGGGGGAAACATATAGTGCAAAGGGAGGGTGATGTGTGTGGCGGGGGGCAATTACAAGAACTGATCCCCTGTAGGGCTCTCTCTGCAGCAGCTGCCAGCAGGAGGGAGAGGAGAAGAAGTCAGCTTTCAGTTGCTGCAGAGAGAGTCATACAGGGGATCGGTTCCAGTCCTTTCCCACTGCCGTGTCAATTACCCTCTTTTCCCACATCCGATTCACCCAGCTGCCTGGCCCCCCTTCTAGCCTGGGCCCTGAACAGGAGGACTGCTGATATCCCCTTATCCACGGCCCTGGGTGAGCAGTAACAACTAGGTCTCACTTAGCAGCATCCTAGCAATGACCTGGGAGGATTCCAGTCAGGCATCAGGAGGTATATAAATGGCATACACCTACAGCAAGGGCATTATTCAACTTTAGTATGAGCTATACCGTTTGTTTTTATCTACAGATTTCCCTTATCTGCATAAGCAATTTTTTTTAGTAACAAAGCCTTTAAGTCATTATTTGAATGTTTTTTATGATTTATGATTCTCTTGTGTGGAAGGAAGGCCACATTTTTCTGAAAGCATTGCTTCTCTTCCCAAGCTGCTGTGAGCTTTACTGTGTGTGACATGCAGTGATGTTTAGACAAATGTGCTTTCTGTAGCCATTTATGTAAAAATAGTAAATCAATGACAATATATGGCAACTGTTAAATTTGATATAATAGGCCAAAATGACATAGCATAGCAAAAAACTGTTAACATTAAGGGCCTGTGCACACTATAGAAACGCAGTCCAGATGCGTTTTTGCATGCATGTTTTTGACTCATTTTTGGCGCCTTCCGGTGCATTTTATGCGTTTTTTACACATTCCAGTGCGTTTTTTATGCATTCCAGTTCATTTTTTCCTCTCTCTTTTTCTCCAATTTAAATAGGGATACGTGTGTTCTAGTGTGTTTTTGGTGTGTTCCGGTGCAAATGAGAAAGAGGTCTGCACTGCAGGCTCATTGATGTACCTTATATATAGAATGGCTGATGTTTTAGAATAAAGAAGTTATTCTGAACTACCAATCAAAGTCATACCTGCAATGGAAAATATAATTAATTTGTTAATACATTAAGGGGAGAGAGAGAGAGAGAGAGAGAGAGAGAGAGAAAGAAAGAGAGAGAGAGAACGAGAAAGAGAGAGTATTGCACAGTACAGTTGTCAAAAAAGCCCTATATGTAAGATGTTCTCTGGACATCTGCAGTAGTTTACCTAGAGCTCAGGTTATGGTCATTTTCAGGCAACATATATTGGCTTTGTATGTGTTTTCTTTTTTTATTGCCAGGTTAACATAAAATATTGCATATTAATATGTTTAAAGTGTTGGTAAACCAACAACAGTAAAATCAGTCTGTATATAGTTACACAGTTAATCTGGCTGAAAAAAGACAAAAGTCCATCTAGTTCAACCATTAAAAAAAAAAGTTATAATCCTATACCCACAGTTGATCCAGAGGAAGGCAAAGCATGATCCAATTTGCTCCTGTAGGAGAAAAAAAGTCCTTCCTGATCCCCAAAGAGGCAAGTAAAGCATGCTTGTTATACTCACTGTGAAACATAAGGGGTTAATCCTTCACATTGTGTAAAAAGGCTGTTTATCCTGTCTTCTCTGATCCTCCCCTTCTTTTAATGTCCCTAATCCATCTACTGATAGTACAGAGCCCTAAGAGGCACCCTGCACATGCTCATTTTGGTGTGGATTGCTAGAGAATTTTTTTTTCTTTTGGAAGGGTGCATGTGATCAGCACAAGGCCAATCAGTACTGTCCAGGGTCAGGGTCATGCAGCCTCATGTCAGACGAGAAAGAAAACTCCTTCTACAAGCTTTAACCAGTACTCGGCTGGACACTGATAGCAGTTACAAGTCTGCTATATACTGCTGTTGAGAAAAGGATGATGATGAGAATTTAGCAGTTTATATTTACTATAAAAAAATGCATCTTTATGTTCTGTGTACTGTGGGAGACCAGATATAGTGAATGCAGGGTCCTGGGTTTAGTAACACTTTAATTCTCTTTTTGAGCCACCAGGTGGAGTTACAGACTACTTTTTATGTTTTCTTCTCCTTAGTTGAAAAAAAGCTTGTTCTTTAAGAACTCAATAGCGCAAGCTGAAGTTTACTCCCACAAGTGAATATATCAGAACAGTGTTTCATATCATAGCAGATGGTTTCTTCTGAGGTTCAATTGAGATACAGATTACATGAGAGGAGATAGCTACTGCTGGGTCGTGTAATAAAATAAAATCTATACTGTTCTAGGATCATTTGTCATGTATTAAATTTTGGTTTGTAAAGCAATTGCTGTATACCTAAAATATAATACATCAGTTTAAAAAGTATACATTAAAAATTATTTTTTATTCCAACCCTTTTTTGTTTCCCTGTAAAAAGATTTTTTTCACCTTCTCCACACCATCAGTGCTCTAATACCTCACCTGTAACAAAGGAGCATCTTTTATTCATCTAAAATCTTCTCCTGGCTTGCAGGCTGAATAAATAGAAACTAACAGATTCATCCTTCCACACAAACAAGGGTGGTGCAGGAATCTCTCTGCTGAGACATTGTATTCTGAGAGTGTATGTTTCTACAGATGATGATCGAGAAATTTTCCAGCATTCTCCTTTGACAGACGTCGATCAAATGAACAACTTCTGTTGAGCAGGGACAGCCACACACTGATCAAAATTCAGATGGTCTTTGCTGAACCAACCAAATTTTGATTTGTCTATGGCCAGTTTTAGATCTAGCCTTGAATGGGGAACACTTGTGCTGACATCATCATTATCATCTCCTGGATGACAACAGCTCTCATGCAATACTTCAAATGTGGCTAGTGGAGAACAGATGTTAGAAACTCTTTTTTATGAGATTAATTGCAATGGTATTTGAAAGAAGTAGAACTTCCTAAGCTAAACCTAGACCTTTTGATACCTGTTGGGAAATTAGCATTTTTGAATACCATATTTTATTTTTTTTACAGACATTATAACTTTGCTCATTTAGTGTCTATAGGGAGCCCAACCCCAAACAGTTTTACCTGCCAAGCCACACTCTCATACTGCTTTCCTGCACTGCAGGAACCCTCAATAATGGATCAGGGCCCCCAGGTATGCGGAACACTGGAACTGAGACAATCTGGGATGCTGTAGTGGGGAGGTGGTAAAAAAAGGGTGGCCCATTAAATATGAAAGCTTGTGGGGGAGCTATCTGCAGACATTGTCACTTTGCCTTGTTTGACCAATGTGGTAGTGGCATGATCATACATTTTGAAAGATTATTGAAATTTGATCTTGATTACCTCTTCAATGACTTGCTTTTGATTCAAATTAAAAAAAAAGATATACATATATAAAAAAGACAAAAGGGATGTTTTTGTTTCTACCAGAGAAATTTATTGAAGATTGCCATGTATTGTTTAATAAAGATGTTGGACACGTCTGAAAGACCCAACCCTGGGGCTGTTGGCTCCCCAGTTAGTGAATCTCCTGTACTCTCCAGGTTTCAGGTAGTACTGACGTCCCTTGTAGTTGGCCTCCTCATAGAACATCCAGTGACCATCAAGGACATTGCAGGAGTGAATATCATGATAACGGAACTTCTCATAAACACATTGACAGTCTTCTGTGAACTCCATCATCTGACCTTTGAAATCTTCCTTCTCATAAACTTTAAGGATGAAAGGACCACGATGCTGTGAAAAAAGGAAAAAGAGAAGTTCAGTTTTGCTGAGAAAATATATAGGGCATTAAAAGAACAATATAAACACTGGAATTCACAGCAAACCACTTTACCAAACATAGAATGTAATTATTTTCTGCCTTAACAAAAAATGTTACAGGAATAAACATACTTGAGTAGTTAAATGGCAGGATCTGATGGAGTCATTGAAGCCCATCCACTGCTGGAAATCAGGATAGTCTCCTCTTCTTAGGTAGTACTGATATCCTTTGTAGTTAGGCTGCTCGTAAAGAATCCAGTTACCATTCTCTACACGGATGGAGTTGCAACGGCTAAAATATGAGGACAGGTCAGAGCAGTCAGAGCTGCACTCATAGGAGCGGCCCTGAAAGTTCTTGTCTTCATAAAAGATGATCTGTAAAATAAAGAGAATGGAAACATCAGGGTTATCTTTTTATCTAGGATGCAATGTCATTCATGCTATTTTATCAGCTCAAGATTCCAAAATGTTTGCCCTTTTGTTAAGATATACATGTAAAAAAGAGTAAATATATATATATATATATATATATATATATATACATACATGCACAAAACAGCCCCTCCCAGTCCTACTCCTTGTTTTCTCATGTCATTTGATTGCTGACTGCATTCAGTAAAGCAGGTAACAAGTGGCTGATAAAAAGAAGGGATGGATTATCCTGGGGATAGAATTACTCTATTACATGCCCAGTTCCTGTAATGAAAATGGTACCTACAAAAAGCTTCCTACAAAAGGAAAAAATACTGTTGGTAGCACCACCTTTATCACCACTCACTAAACCTGAGGGACAAACTAGGTAAGATGGCATATGGATAAAATGAAATATGGATAATGCAAACAGTAACACAGAATTGCAGGTAAGCAAGCTTTAAACATTTTCTTCTTCAGAATGCGTGTATTAAACAAAATATATTTTTGTTCTACTTTATGTCACTAGTTATCATACAAAGGTTATAGTTAATGGGTGTACGATCATTAGGCTCCAATGTGAGGAAGCATTTAGGAACACTTGAGCTAATGCTGATTTCACCAATATAAAACACAAAAAAAATCATATGTTTGTCTTACTGATGTTTGTAAAATAATAACTAATGATCTTGGGTATTACCAAATAAATTCAACTCATCATCATTTAGCTTAGTCACGGGCATGGTTATTTGAAGGGTCAAAGACCAAAGTGCTACAAGGAGTTGTTCATAGAAAAACAAATTAAAATTATTTTATTGATGTAACTATATAAATGACCATGGGCAAGGAAAGTTTGGGGCTGATTGTGTATCCATAAAGTAGGTGTCTAACATAATGACCTGAGTTTAAGGACTATAGGACATTCGGAAGATATTCTGATAATGCAAGTAATTATTTAGAGTTGCCTGCTGTATTGATCAAGGACCAATGTAACCAATAAAATTCAAGTGGATAAGGCAACAATCTTTTGTCTGTGGGTACTGCTAGACAGTCCTGGGGAAAGGGGTCTGTTTTCTATTGTTTTCTCCATGTTTCTCCACCAAATTTTCCCTTCTACACCGATATAAACTTGTAAATTTGGTAGAAATGACCTTGGAAGTTTATGTAGTGCTTTACTGTGCCCAGATGATTTTTTTGCCCTGAGTGTAGTTATATAATGCCTGTATTCGTGACTGATGTCCAAGGTCCATAGACAGACTGTTTACATTCTTATATAAGACAAATCATTACATTTGCACTAAACACTATGATTGAACTGTGAATTTCACAGTGGTGTATTTTTTTATTAACAAATTAGTTTTTAAGCTACCTATATCTATTGCTGCTGTATATATAGCATTGTTTAGGTTTTTAAAGGTAACAGTTCTAGAATATTGTTCCTGATGCAGAAGAATCCAGACGTGCTAGCTGTACACTTATCAATGGATCTCTTAAGAATTTTTGCCACTCACAGCTTCCTAGCTTTCTCAGTTTAAAATGACCATATTACTGTTTTTAAGGAAATTGGTAGAAACTATTGCAGGCCCAGATTAAAGTAATTTAAATTTCTGTTTAGGCTTCAATCATTTGGCTACTCAGAGCTAGAAAGGAATTGAAATCATGGCTGACATTGTGGTGAAAGCTCCAAAATATTTAAAGGATGTGACTATCCTAGGATAATATATAACGTATTAAAATCAGTATTCAGTCTCAGAACATGATAGTTCATAAGGCATATTTCAAATTAAATCACTCCAGTTAAAAAAAAATTCTAATGTTTCCAAAACCAGTCTTACCTTTCCCATGATGGACAGTGTTGTTCTATTGGAGCTAGGTGCTTGTGAGTGAGAATTATATGTGCTTTATATATACATTGTCTATTTGCTGGCTTCAGCAGATCTTTAAAGAAACAACATTTTCTGTTTGCTAAGGTAAATGTACAGTTTAGCTTTATTCACAACTACGGTCTCTTTGTGTGTTGCCTTTGTTAATGTATGCTTACAAAAAAGCACTCAACAGAGCTTTACATGATTTTGCTAAGTGGCCTTATTTGACAAATACATGTTGTTCACTTTAACAGATGAAAATGTGCTATATTTGCACTTAAAATGCCTGATACAAATCATTTATGTTCAGGTACATACAGGTTACATATTTACAGATTTCAAAATTTTTGAGGATAAGCCACATTCTTCCTTTAATCTGAATACATTTTTATCAGTTAATTTTACCTAAAAAAATGTGTTTAAATTATATAATTTCATGCATTTACAGAGAGCTCCAATGGCCAACATCTGCAAAGAAGTTCTCTGCTACTACAAAATATAAAAACACACGTGTGTACAGAGGCGTAACTAAAACCTACAGGGCCCGAGGGCCTTTGCATCAGTCCTAGGGACCTTTACTCCCATCAATGGGCCCTTTATTATGATAAACAACAAAAGAGAAGAAATGTGGCCCAAGAGACACCAACTTAGGTTACTCTGTATTAGAAATGTAAAAACGTTTATTAATAAATATTGGGGGATCAAACTGGATAGATGCCTCAGCTGTACTCCAAGTGATATGCAGCAGGTAAGCTCACAGTATGTAGACAATGCTATGAAAATGTCTCTACTGTTGGTGTATAGCTGAAAGGCTCACTGTAAGTGTTCTAAGATGGATGGATGGCTGGGCTGCAATTCTTCTGTAAACAATGACAAGAAGATTCATCCGATCTTTACCCCTCCCGGGGACTTTTTGCCATGTAATGAGCTGTGACCTGATCAGAGGCGCCCCTAGGGTTGGTGTCACCCGTTGCAGTGGTGTCACCCCTCCTGAGAGGAAGGAGCGGTGTCAGTGTAGTGGTAAATTGAGTATCCCGACCTGTGAAGATATGTATCCCCTGAAGCACCAGCGCATGTGCCGGTTTCAGGCCGAAGAAGCCGATCTCCGACTTTAGCACAGAGCTGCCATAGTTAAACCCTTACAGGCTGCAAACCGCTGAAGCTGATCCTGCAGATCACTATGGGTTGCAAGATCAGTTAACTCTGTATAGGTTGAACCTGTAAGGGGTTAACTGTGGCAGCTCTGTGCTAAAGTCAGAGATCTGCTTTTTCGGCCTGAAACCGGCACATGCGCAGTTGCTTCAGGGCATACATATCTTCACGGGTCCGGGATACTCATTTTACCACTACACCGGGAGCAGCTGTCACTGTGCTGGGAATCAGGGATCACCCCAATAACTGGCCAGGACCTTCACAGAGCCCAGAAGCTCTGCTGGCATCCTGTTCCTGCACCCCCTGTGATGGTGTCACCCCGTGTGGCCCGCACCCCCTAGGGATGGCACTGGACCTAATACAGCTGATGCTGCTGATGGAGTTGGGAGCCCAAACACAATGTGTGCATCCAGGATGGGATGAGCTCACTGTAGGTCAGTGTGTGCTGTTAGACAGGGATCCAACATATGAGCGGAGTGAGCTCTGCAGATGTCGACCTGTGTGGATCAGTGTCCATGCGGACCCTCCATGTCTTCACCCCATCAGGGATATTACTGATGTAGGATCCATAGTGCCAATTAAGAGTCTCTCAGATGCTGGGTCTCCTGTGTGAAGCAGCTGATCACCGTGGGATGCAAGCTGTCAGAACACTCTGCTGCAATAAGTTCCTGTAGCTCAGTAGAGTGCTGAGCTGCCTGTGTAAGGCCTTCCTACAGTCTGGAGCCCCCCAGTGGTGAAACTCCAGAGCCTGATTGCTATTGCGACCTTTGCGACCCTGGTAGCTCCGATACTGTGTGTGCATGTTTAAAGTTTATACTACCTAAAGCAGCCAAAGACAGCCATTCCCTGCTGTAGGCAACATAACTCACTACGTTTTTACTAATGAGCAACAATATTTTACACAGTGGCCTTCTGTAACATTTAAGCTGAACTCCAGATATGATCTGTTATACGTGGTTCCATTGATCCAGTTTGATATACAGTTGTGTTCAAAATAATAGCAGTCAGACATCACTAACCTGATCAATCACTGTTTTTGGTAGAAATTATATTTCTACATGGCAAATAATTTATTAGCAGGTGTAGTAGAGTAATAGAAATCCAACAGACCCAACAGTCATGACATGCATGCTGCTGATTCTGTGTAATTGAATCACTAATTGAAAGGGGCATGTTCAAAATAATAGCAGTGTGGAGTTCTATTAGTGAGGTCATTCATCCTTTGAAAAACAGGTGGCAATTATTGCCCTTATTTAAGGAAGGAAGGCAGCAAATGTTGTACATGCTGGTTACAGTGCATTTCTCTCTGAAATTCTGTGGAAAATGGATCGTTCCAGACATTGTTCAGAAGAACAGCGTACCTTGATTAAAAAGTTGATTGGAGAGGGGGGAAAACATGTAAAGAAGTGCAGAAAATGATAGGCTGCTCAGTTAAAATGATCGCAAATGCTTTAAAATGGCAACCAAAACCTGAAAGACGTGGAAGAAAACAAAAAACTACCATTCGAATGGATAGAAGAATAGCCAAAATGGCAAGGACTCAGCCAACAATCAGCTCCAGGAAGATCAAAGAAGGTCCAAAGTTACCTGTGAGTACCATTACAATTAGAAGATGCCTATGTGAAGCCAAGCTATCTGCAAGAAGCCCCCGCAAAGTCCCACTGTTGAAAAAAAGACGTGTTGAAAAGGTTACAATTTGCCAAAGAGCACATTGACTGGCCTAAAGAGAAATGGCGCAACATTTTGTGGACTGATGACAGTAAGATTGTTCTTTTTGGGTCTAGTGGCCGGAGACAGTTTGTCAGACGACCCCCAAACACTGAATTCAAGCCACAGTACACTGTGAAGACAGCACTGTGAAGACAGTGAAGCATGGTTGCGCAAGCATCATGATATGGGGATGTTTCTCATACTACGGTGTTGGGCCTATTTATCGCATACCAGGGATCATGGATCAGTTTGAATACATCAGAATACTTGAAGAGGTCATGCTGCCTTATGCTGAAGAGGAAATGCCCTTGAAAAGGGTGTTCCAACAAGACAACGACCCCAAACACACCAGTAAACGTGCAACATCTTGGTTCCAGACCAGCAAGATTGACGTTATGGAGTGACCAGCCCAATCCCCGGATCTTAATCCAATAGAAAACTTGTGGGGTGACATCAAGAATGCAGTTTCTGAGGCAAAACCAAGAAATAGAGAAGAATTGTGGAATGTAGTACAATCATCCTGGGCTGGAATACCTGTTCACAGGTGCCAGAAGTTGGTTGACTCCATGCAACACAGATGTACAGCAGTTCTCAGAAACAGTGCTTATACAACTAAATATTAATTATGTGATTCAAAGGAAAGCAAAATCTTCAAACATTTTTCAGTTTATATAGTGAATGTTTGAGTTTGTAAAGAAGAATACAAACACTGCTATTTTTTTGAACAGTCTAATATTCACTTTTCTTCATTTTTTTTTAGAGGAACAACACAAATTTGATATATTTTTCTTCATGTTTTGATTTGGAATAGAATGTGTAGTGTTCCCAATGCATTTGTGTGTATAGAAATAAAAGTTATTAGAAGGATTTTGAGCTTTATTTACTTTTTTCAACACACTGCTATTATTTTGAACACAACTGTATATATCCCCTACCTGGGGATGCAGGAAAAGTTGACAATCACTGTATTAGTGATAGTTCGAGGTACTGTGCTGAGCAGTTTCATTTCTAAACACTGACCACAGGGGGTTACTAGCTTGGCACTGCCACTGCCACTATTTACAGAATGCTGTGTATTTAACCACTAGCCTACAGGGCACTTATACCCCCTTCCTGCCCAGGCAAATTTCCAGCTTTCAGCGCTGTTGCACTTTGAATGACAATTGCGCAGTCATGCAACACTGTACCCATATGAAATTTTTATCATTTTTTTTTGTGACTGATAGAGCTTTATTTTGGTGGTATTTAATCACCTCTGGGTGTTTTATTTTTTCTTAAACAAACCAAAAACCACTGAAAATTTTGAAAAAAAAAAACGTTTTTTTCTTAGTTTTTGTTATAAAATTTTGTAAATAAGTGATTTTTCTCCTTCACTGATGTGCGCTAATGAGGCCGCACTGATAGGCTGCACTGATGGACACTGATAGGTGGCACTGATGGGCAGGCACTGGTAGGTGGCACTGATGGGCATTGAAAGGCATCACTGATGGGCACTGAAAGGCAGCACTCATATATGGCACTGATAGGCGGCACTGACTGGCACTGATAGGCGGCATTGACTGGCACTGACTGGCACTGTTAGGCGACACTGATAGGCAGCACTGATGGAAACAGATAGGCGGAACTGATGCACTTTGATAGGCCACTGACTGGCACTGATAGGTGGCACTGATTGGCAGCACTGATAGGTGGCACTGACTGGCATTGATAGGTGGCACTGACTGGCACTGGGTGACACTGAAAGGCGGCTCAGATGGGCACTGATATGTGGCACTGATGGGCACTGAAATGTGGCACTGATGGGCACTGGCAGATGGCATGGATGAGCACAGAGCTGGCACTGGTGGACACTGACAGGTGGCACTGCTGGGGCTACACAGATCCTCAGGGCACACTGATCATCAGTGCTCTGATGATTTGTGTACATGTCCCCTCCGCGGAATGCCGATTACCGGCTCTTCTCTCCTCACGAGCGGTCAGCGTGACAGCTCGTGAGGAGAGAAATGCCGATAACTGGCATTTTCCTGTTTACATGTGATCAGCTGTGATTGGACACAGCTGATCACATGACCGAGCCAACATCTTCGGCTCTTTCTGTAGATCGGTGATCCACTGTGTCCAAGGGACACAGCCGACGCCGATCACCGCGCTGCGCATTCCAGGAGGAGCCGCGCATGCGCGGTGAGAATGGGAGGACGTCATTGCTTCATGTCTATGTTCCTTAAACAACCAATCGAGGGTGAATACTTCTGTGTGAAATGTGAGTAAGGTGTTTGTTTGGAAGTCCAGATTCTGGAACAAGAAAATCAACTGACAACACTGGGAAGCATCAACAACCTGGATAAGAGTGTGGACCCTACCCATCAGGTGCTGGCTGGGGCAACCCTGTGAGGCCTTAACAGGTACAGAAAGAGTATAAGAGCATAAGGAGGTCTGTGGTTGCTGTGGCTGCATTCAGGAGGGTTAGAACGTAGCAGAGCTTCCATGAATGTGTTTTATTCCTCACAAACCCCAAGAGTTGCACATGGCTAGGGAGAGGTGTCTGAGGACAATGTTGCCCTTAGTAACCCATAGGACGTTAGAGCCTGGGACCCTAGAATTTGTGGCATCAAGCAAAAGCACCATTACTGGCTGGAAACCCTCCTGGATCCCTGTTACAAGGGTTAAGTCTCAGAGCCCAACCCGCCCTCCTTTCCAGAGTTTGCAAAATACTATCTGACAGACTATGCTGTCATTGCAAGGAGGAGCAGTGTCAGGGCTCCAGGGTATGACCAGAGGTATGTGAACTGACCCAGGGAAACGCAGGCTTCAGATATGATATAAACAATATAATTTATTAACACTAACAATACATAAACGCAGTGCAATACTAAAACATAACACAGTGCAAATGAACCAAACCACCCACAGATAATACATACAATGCAAGCGTCGTCAGGCAGGCCGGGTCAATAACAATCGGGCAGGTAGGAACAGGGGGTCAGGCAGAGAATGGTCGGGGTCACAAGCCAGGGATCAAACAGGAGAAGTCAGCAGAGGTCCGGATCAGGCAGGGTCAGCAACGAATCAGCCAGACAGAGACAGGGACAGGGACAGGGATGCAGGTAACAAGATACAGGGCCCAGGAAAAACACACACCAAGGCCCAGACTGCAGGTCTGGCCATCCCTTAAATACACCTGCATAATCAGCTTCAGGTGTTTGGCTGGCTGCAGGGTTGAGTCTCTGATTGCTGAGAACACCCGCTGGCCAGCCCTGGTACTGCAGCCTACAAGGCAGGTGAGTCCCACCATTACTGGCAAGTCCATTCCTGACAATACCCCCCCCCTCAAGGAGCAGCCTCAGGACGCTCCAAACAGTCCTAGCTGGGCAAAATGTTCCACCACCCGGGTCTGGTAACTGGCGGGATATCAAAGACCGGCACATCGGGCAGGACTCCGGGCAGCGGCACTGGGTCATCAGGTACCAGATCGTCTGGATCGACAGCGGGCATCGAGTCAACTGGCCTAATGGAATCATCAGGCTGGATCAGTTCATCGGGCTGGGTAGAAACATCATGCTGGGTAGAGACATCAGGCTGAATGGAGGCATCAGGCTGAATGGAGGCATCAGTCTGGGTAGAGGCATCAGGCTGGGTAGAGGCATCAGGCTGAATGGAGGCATCAGGCTGGGTAGAGGCATCAGGCTGGGTAGAGGCATCAGGCTGAATTGTGGGCGCCGAGGCACCAGGCTGCACCACGGAAGGCAGGTTCTCAGATGGGAGGCTGACCGGTTTGGATACTGGCAGGATGGTATTGGTTGGAAAGAACTTTCGCCTTTTCCTGGTTTTAGTTACCGGAGCACTGTAAGTAAGCGCAGGTTTGTAAACGGATGGAGCAGCTGGAGACAGAGAAGAGCTGGAGGATGGAACAGGGGAGGGAACAGTTGCTACAGAGGGCTTCTTTACAGGGTTAAAGGCAGGATAGGTGCAGCGAGTGGGAACAGGGTACTGACATGCGGTAGATAGCAGGGTATACTGGGCTGTAACTGGAGGTGCTGTTGGGAATGCAGGAATAGAGCTTTGAAGAAATAGAATAGAAGCAGGACTGGGTTTTTGCAAGCTGACTGAGGCTGGGTGTAACAAATCTGACCATGTCTGCAGTACGGGTTGAACAAAGCTCCGCTTACACAAAGCCTGTCTGACCAAAGACTGCACTGCGTTTATACAATCCCTTAATACCTGTGGTGAACACGCAGCATAATGCTCCAAGAAGCAATCCACATCATCCTCTAATAACCATACCAGGGACTCTACCTGGTCTGCACTAAATGGCGGCAAAAAGTCATTCCTGCTTTCAGGGGTACCAGATGAAGCCAACTCTACACAAACCTGAATCAAAGGTTGCACCTCAGAGAACTCTGTGCCCTGATCTACTAGAACATGAGCGATCCGTATACATTCTAGCAGTTGATTCCGGGTATACTCCCTCAGAGCCTGATAAGCATATTCTCTGTCATCAAAAACCAGCAGTGACAAATACACAACCTCATCAAGATCCATCCTTCCCAGCAACAAGCCAAGATGGCTTCCCTGTGCAGCCACTTCTGGTCAGGGTTGGCCTTGGTGTAATGTCAGGGCTCCAGGGTATGACTAGAGGTATGTGAACTGACGCAGGGAAACGCAGGCTTCAGATATGATATAAACAATATAATTTATTAACACTAACAATACATAAACGCAGTGCAATACTAAAACATAACACAGTGCAAATGAACCAAACCAAACCACCCACAGATAATACATACAATGCAAGCGTCGTCAGGCAGGCCAGGTCAATAACAATCGGGCAGGTAGGAACAGGGGGTCAGGCAGAGAATGGTCGGGGTCACAAGCCAGGGATCAAACAGGAGAAGTCAGCAGAGGTCCGGATCAGGCAGGGTCAGCAACGAATCAGTCAGAGACAGGGACAGGGACAGGGATGTAGGTAACAAGATACAGGGCCCAGGAAAAACACACACCAAGGCCCAGACTGCAGGTCTGGCCATCCCTTAAATACACCTGCATAATCAGCTTCAGGTGTTTGGCTGGCTGCAGGGTTGAGTCTCTGATTGCTGAGAACACCCGCTGGCCAGCCCTGGTACTGCAGCCCACAAGGCAGGTGAGTCCCACCATTACTGGCAAGTCCATTCCTGACAAGCAGTGGTCAGGATGGCTGCCAAAAGGAGGCACTCAAAACACTTTTCTCTTCCCAACACCCAGGGCTATCCGCTTCCAGCAGCCATCCACAATATCTGCATTATTATGTTGGGGTAGTACATGGGGTCAAGGGCAGATAATGACTACCCCTTAATTTTTAGATGGACAACTGTCCAGAGCTTGCTAACTATGAATACTCTTGTATCTGGCAGGAGTAGCTGTGGATGTGGAGGCAAAACAGAACACTTTAGCAGCTCCTCTGCACCTGGGAAACATAGGAGGAAGATGATGAACGCTTGGTAAGCCACTCCATCACAGACATCCACTAACAGAAAACAAAGACATACAGTATACAAAGGGCAGCTTTTGTGGCTTCACCAACAACTTCATGCTGTTGATGTTGCTGTTGGTCCCATAAAAAAATGACTAAAAGACCCTTACAAAAGCACATCTTGCTTGCCAGAGGTAGTATATATATATATATCAAGCGGATATATCAGTATCATTGCTGCAGCTGGTATTGTTTTTTAGGGTCAGTGATTGACTTTCCAGTAAAAGTGGACGATCACCCGATGTTATTTATGGACTTTTCCTTTCCACCATGGAGCCCAAGATTGAGATAAGTGGTCAGATTGGCTGCTCACAGAGTAGTTGGAGGAATATTCAATCCCCCATCTTCCCTGTGATGAATGAATCCAGATTCAACAAGGATTTAGTAACTTCCGGTTTCAGAGTTGTCTTTTCTTCGCTGCTACAGCCAAGGAACAGGAATCATCTAATCAAACACAGTCTGTATTTGATCAGATGCTTTGAAGGGCAGGGGAGACATTGGACATCTAATAGACGCCTGTGTCTCCATAAAGAGTACCTACTGCCCAAAGCTATCACAAGATTCAGATTCAGAATACTTTATTAAAGGGAAATTATTATGTTATAGTTCCATCCAATGAAGACAACAAAAAATAACAATAACCAACAGAAAAGAGACACAATAAGAGCAATACAATTAAAAATAAGAGCAAGATAATACCAAGTAAAAGAAAATTATTACTATACTGTAATAAACCAAACCATCCTATTAAAACACTACATAGAATAAATAACACTGACTGACAAATAGCAGAAAATCAAACTACCAAAATGCAAATATTACACAACTTTTTGTAACATTACCCTAAAAAGTATTACACATAGTTGACCTAATACCAACATAATATAAAAACTACTACATACAAATCTGGATCATAAATCAGATTTAAATGCTCACATCCAGAACTCACAGAGAAGAATTATATAATTTGATGGACACAAGCAAAAATGATTTATCGTGTTACCTACTCTAAAAGCTATCTTTTCTGAGTTAAGAGTATTCTTATTCTATCAAGGGGACTTGTTCACCCGTTGTGATAGCAGAAAAGTTAAAAGAAAAAATATTAAATAAAACAAATAAAAATATTTTAAAAAAATGTCAAAGCACCCGCACCCCACCATGCTTGCACACAAATGAAAGTGCTCACATAGGTTCGGTACGCATATGTAAATGGAGATTGTACCACCCATGTAAGGTATCGCCATGAAGGTTAGAGTAAGACCAATAATTCTAGTGCTTTAGCTCATGATTACCTCTAAACTGATAACCTGTAAATGTGTTTGAAGCATCGCCTATGGACAATTTTAGGAACCACAGTTTGTCATCATTTTACAGGCATGCAAAATGTAAAATCTTGACATATTTGGTATCTTTTTACTGAACGCAACAATATATTGTATATTTTAGCAAAAATAAATTGGGTATTATATTGTGTTTGCTTATATACTGTATTTATATATGTATATACTTTTGTTTGATAAATGACTGCGCAAATATTGCGCAATATAAAAAGTTGCAACAGCTACCATTCTATTCTCTATGGCCCCTTTTTCAGAAAATGTATAATGTTTAGGGGTCCTAAGAAATTTTTCAGAAAAAAAGATTTCAACATGTACAGTATGTGGAAAATATGAAATTGCTCCAGTAGACAAGTGGTTAAGTATAAATGAATTAGAGCTTAAGGTAAAAAAAGGAAAATAGCTGAAATCCCCCCCCCCAAAAAAATAAATAAATACATAAATAAATAAAATGAGGGAAAAGTAAAAGCAGCAACACAACAACAGAGGCTCTCATTGACATACAAAGAAATAAAGGTAGCCCTAAAATGAACTGTTGGGTAAATGCAGTTGGGCTTCAACTCCAGTCTTTCTAGCAACACAAGCTGCACTTCACTGCAAATTATCAGTGGAAACATACAGCACTGAATATAGTGTTGTATACATCACTGTATAGCTGTAGGAGCACACTACACTGATGACTCTCTCTCCTTGAAATACTGTCAGCTTCCAAACACTGGCAAAGGGGTTCTGGGCCAACATTCTTTTTAGTGGGTGGGCTGCGACTTTGTAGAAGATCAGGTGCAGGACTTTGACCAATAACAGTTGTTTGTAATGCATTATCTGATGTTCAACAGAACAAATCCTGCCAAACTTCCCAACAGTTTGTATTTAATCTGTTTTATCTGAACATTCAAAATTCAGTCCAGTCTGTGAACATTCTCAAATCCTTTAACAAATCAGTTCTGTGTGTACAAGAAATGTCACTATTTTGCTAACCTCAGAAACTTCATCTAACTTAGATTCTGAAGGCTCTCATCATATACCCTTCTGGGTGTTATTTCTGTTTCTCATTACTGCAAGTGTCCAATATGCAGACCTGAGAATATGGTGTGCATATTTAGCAGACATAAGAAATGGCATTTGAAAGAACAACAATGTCAACAAGGAGATTTAAAACAATGGGTTGGCCTTTATTCACAATTTTCACTTTTGTCCAACTGATGTGAATGTTCAATATACTGTATATATGTGTAAAGCGCTGCGTAAATTGACAGCGCATATAAGTACCTGAAATAAATAAATAAATAACATCTCTACGCAACATTAAGTTTACTACAGTATCCCAAATTATGCTGCAATGGCTCCATCTAGTGTTACTGGTTTAAAGAATATCACATCTTTGGATCCCTTGGGTAAATCCTCAGAACTATGTTTACATATTTACATAGGTTAAAAATCACATCATTCCATCTACTGTAGTTCAACCAATAGGAAAAAAGGAAATAGAAAAACCCCCTACACTGTACACAATCCTGTACTTACAGTTGATTAAGAGGAAGGCAAAAAAAAAAAAGTATGATCCAAGTCGCTGCAGTGGGGTAAACAAATTCCTTCTATATCCCCAGGAGGCAATAGGATATTGCCTGAATGCCCCTGGTGTTATTACCTCTGAATGTTGGCATCCATATGTAAAGTATTTTGTATATTTAAGAAATCATCCAGATCTTTTTTAAAGCAATTTACTGAGCTGCCCAGAACCAGTTCTTGAGGGAGTCTATGACACATGTTCGCAGCTCTTACTGGGAAGAAGGCTAAATATATACTATATATAAATATAAATACTGTACATGAAGGTTAAATCTTTTTTTCTCTAGACCTAAAAAGTGTCCCTTTGTACTCTTTAATGTCTTCAAATCGAATAATGCTACACCAAGTTCACTATTGGGTACACGTATGTATTTATACATGTTGATCAAATGCCTCCTTAATCATAGCTGAGC